CCTTCTTCCTAGTCTGGGAACTACCCTCTCTGGATTGAGGAAAAGCAATCTCCAGCTAAGGAGTGGCTGTGGTCTTGATTAGACTAAGGCAATTCTGAAACTTGAGCTTGCAACAGAATCACCTAGAGAGCTTATTAAAAGATAATTGTTGCTGGGCCCCATCTCAGAGGTTCTAATTTGGGGTAGAGGGCGAGACTGAGGCTGCATTTCTATTAAGTCTCAGGTGAAGCTGAAGCTGCTGGCCTGGGAACCACACCTGGAGGAACCCTACTCTCACAGCCTTGGGTTCTTGGTCCAGGGGTACTACATGTCCCTCACCACTCCACAGCCAAAGGGAGGACCGCTAGACACCATGGCTGGGGACCAGCTGGCATGTCTCCCTCCTTGCTGCCGATGGGAAGAGAAGCAGGGGAGCAGCACACAGTCCCACTGACTCTAGGGACCACCTCATGATCATGAGGAGGCAGTGATGGCTGGCAAGCAGAGAAAGAAGAATCTAGGTCCTTGATGGAAATGCTGATACAGTAAGACTCCAGCGCTGTGAGATCATAAATGTCCTTATTGTTTACTTGAAAACCGGCACACCCCACAATCCAGGGAGACCCTTGAACTGGGCATCCTTGTTTCCTCATAGGACTCTGTTCCCCAGAAACACCCACCTACCTAACTGTATTTCCTTCATACCTCCTGACTTGGTACACCTGGGTCATTCTTCTTAAACATCTGAATTCATAACTTAGAGAATAGACCATGTGAAATACTAGCAACACAGGAGAGGGAAGAAAAGGAGTTCCACACCCCAGAGTGAGTTATTTTAATCAGCTCCTGTAACAGCAGCAACACCAGCTGTTGCAGGGCTATGGTGGAGGTGTGTAGACAAGGAGCAGGAAGAGAGGCAGGGGGTTTCAGAGGCCTCACGATCCTACCTAGTAAGTGCAACAGGTGGGTTGTGCAGGAATTCCAAGTCAGGAGAATGACCAGGTGTCTGTGGGGCAGGGCTCAGACAGATCCCAGGAATAGAGAAGGTGAACACTTTCCTCCTGTTGGAGTCCAGAGGGCGCACTTCTGCCTTCCTGACCCTATTCCAGAAAATGGATACCTCATTTTATCACCATAGCATGACCCTCCCACACTGGATGCTTCCTCTTCTGAGGCCTTCGCCAAGTGAACCTCAATGAACAGACTTCACATTGAAAGCCCTGCAGTGTCTCACCTGACCCAGGTTAGGGTGCACAGCCAGCCCAAGTTGGGCTGGCAGGCACAGACCAGGTGTGAGCAGGTATGTGCAGAGAGCAGACACGGCACCCTGGAGCTCTGGCTTCCCACTCGTCAGCCACGTTAGGGCAAAAGGGATGGTTAAAAGATTATTCCCACAGCCCTAACTGGTGTGGCTCATTTGGCTGGGCCTCCTCCCGCAAAGCGAAAGGTTGCTGGGTCGATCCCCAGTCAGGGCACATGCCTGGGTTGCGGACCAGGTCCCCAGTGGGGACACGTAAGAAGCAACTGATGGATGTTTCCCTCTCACACACAGATGTTTCTCTCCCTCCCTTCCCCTCTAAAAATAAAATAAAATCTTGAAAAAAAAAAAAGAAAGAAATTAAACCCACAGAGAAAAGGCTCATCTAGCTCCACACTGCCTGTACCTGCTCTGTATATGAACACATCATAACAGCTGACGTCCCTCAGTGCTCAGCAGGTACCAGGGGTTACTCCAAGCACTTGACATGTATTAACTCATTTTACCCGCTAACAAGACTCTGGAGCTGTTACCACTATCAGCCTAGTTTTGTAATGAGAAAACCAAGATACAGAAAGATGAGGCTACTTGCCCAAAGTCACACAGCTAACTGGAGGTTCACAGGGAACTCAGCTGCAAAGTCCACAATAGTTTCAGGATTTAAATAAATAATTTTAAAAGACTAGTATACTGGAAAAACAGGACTAAGTAAAAAAAATCCTAATAAATCAAAATACCAAAAATAGAAATTGTTGATATTGGGGACTTAAAGTGATTAATTTTTACTGATACATGAAGTACAGCATTTATTTTAAAGATTTTACTTATTTATTGTCAGAGAAATAGGGGAAGGGAGGGAGAAAGAGAGGAAGAAAAACATAGATCAGTTGCCTCCTGTGCATCCCCTACTGGGGACCTGTCCTGCAACCCAGGCATGTGCCCTGACTGGGAATCAACCCAGCAACCTTTCACTTTGCAGGACAGGATGATGCCCAACCCACTGAGCCATGCTGGTTAGGGCACAGCATTTATTTTAAAGTCCTGTAAAGGCAGCCATGTGATTTCATATAAATGGCACTAAATCCAGACACACCTAGGTTTGAATGCCAGTCCAACCTCTTACAACCACCCTCAGGTAGGTGCCTTAACCACTCCTCACCTTTGCTTCCTCAATGCACCAACTCCACTCCTACAGGATCTCCTCAGAGGAGGTACACGAAGACTGTGGGGACTGGTATATGGGTGGTGCTTAGAAAATGTTAGGCTCCTTCTCCTTTAGGATGAAAACACATCACACTTAAAGGAGACTTCTAAGGTTGCCTACAATAAAGTCCGAATTTATACTAACTTCCATGATCCAAAAAGATAAAGAAAACAACCTAGTAAGAAAAAACAAGCAAAGCTGTGCATTGTTAAATCATAGAAGCTCAAATATAAACTAGCAAAATAAGGCTTTCAATATATTTGGTAAGTTGGAAAATGTAACTGAAACAATGTCTTCTTTATCCATTAGATTTGCAAAAATTAGCAAGATTTATACTCTTCGGTGTTGGCTGAATTAAAGGGGAAAAGGCAATTTCACATACCGACAGAAGAAGTACCAACTGATAAGGCCTCTTACAAGTGGGGAGCAACTTGGCAAAACTGTCAGTTTAAAATTATTCTTTGACCCAAAAATTCCATCTCTAGGTATCTAGAAGACTAAGGCATTTGTGAGTGTTAACAGTGACACGGTTCACAGATTCCCCACTGTTCTTAAAGCAGAAGATTGGAAACAACTTAAATGTCTCTCAGTAAAGAATAGTTAAGGTCAGTGATCAGTTGGTCTCACACACCTTTCCATTCCGTTCTTCTGGTGCACTTACAGATTTGCTGGCTGGGGAGAATGTTCCCAGGTAGGCAGCTGGCTAAAGGGACTTTCAGGGTCAACAGTTCTCTCTGTCATCATATATCCTGCCTCTCTGGTGCTTTATAGTTTACAACACACTCTCATATACATTATTTTATTTCATCTTTTCCTTAAAGTGACTTGTTTTTACATCCTAAGATTCAGTTCAATAGCCTTATGACAAATACTCGGTTTTCAAAACAATGGCATAAACTATGTCTACCCTTGACTTTGAGTCTAGTTAAAAGACAGGACTTGTATATGAGCAGATAAACACTCTGAGATGCATAAGCCAAATAAAAACTAGATAAGTGAAGTACCTACTATATAGAATTAGTGTTACTAATTCTGTCACTGAGCTCAGTAGAAATCCCACCCTCCCTTCTCTTTGAATCTGTCCAGCATCCACTCATTTAAGCCTGTCTTCTGGGCAAACTGTCCTGGTAACTTTGTCTTGTTGTTGTTAAGAAGGCGTGTTTACAAGGAACAGCAGGAAACAAGGCCTTGTGGGATTCCGTTCACATGCAACACCACCCCAGGGACAGGACATGGTCTTTTGACACCAACCCACTAAGAGGACAACCACACTGGCCTTCTCATGTGGGCCCCATCACTCATCTTTTGACAAAGAAACCCACAAATTGAATCTCCTAGGAGTAAACATTTCTGCAAAGAACTCCCCAAAAGAAAGGCCTTAGCCTAGCTCCAAAGACAAAATTCCTCTTAAAGAAAGCCTATTTTCAACCAAAGAAAAAATTAGGCTTACTTCTAGGCCAACTTACAGCTATCCTATGCCAAGATCAGGTAGATCCCAAAACACTCAGCAAAAGGAGTTCTGTTCTCATCCTTCAGAGATGAGAAAATTCAGAATAAAAGTTAACAAGTGGCAGATCCAGGATTCACACTCAGTAAGCCTATCTACCGGTCCCCACCCTACTGGCTCACCCACAGTCCACACAATCCACTGTGAATGGAGAAGAATCAGGCGTGCAAATTGCCACCCCACCCCCTCCTCTTGCTCTGAGGTGCAGGAGAAAAATCAAACACTCCTCTTAAGCAGCCTCCCAACACAAAACACATTCAGAAGCAAAGCAAAACACAAGAAGATGGGCTTTACCACTACCTTATACTTATTCCCTACCCAGAGGAATACTTCCATGATCTGTCATTACAGACAACTCAGGCAGGAGGAACACACCATTATGTAAAGTCAGAGGGCAGGCCACACAGGGAAGGGAAAGCAGACTCCACAAAGACATAAATTCACCTTTGACATTTTGAGTGTTTCGGTCTTCTATGGCCTACATATTCATGCATGGCTTTTAAAGAGACGAGCACAGCTCCCTGCAAAAGTCTCAAGCCTCCATTCATTGACTAGCAAAGGCAGGAATAAAAAAATTATAAAAAAACAAAGATGCCACAAATGCTGTTGGGGGCTAGAGGCCTGCAGCGAAGGGCGGAGTTTCGAAGATGGAAAGCATATTTCGCAGATTTCCCCCGTTTATTTTTACCAGATATGTTTACACCCGAAACACGGGGAGGCCTGCAACGTCTGGAGTCACCAGATCCGCCCTGGAGATGCACCAGGCAGGCGTCGGCCTGCTCGGGCGCCGAGTCCCACGTCCGGGTCCCCTCCGGGCCAGACGCCAGGTCTGCATTCGCCCGAGCACGCAGGGTCGCTCAGGTCTCAGAAGACGTGACCTAGACTGCGACGCTAGGCTGCAAATTTCCATGACAACCGCGGCGCCGTCACTGTCTCGCGCACAGGTGCTGGGAAGCGCGCTGCACCCCGCGCGGGAGGCATCCAGGTCCCAGCTCCGAAGCGTCGCTGCGCCCCCCGACCCGGCCGCCCACCGGCTCTGCCGGCCCACGTACCTGGCGCGCTCCGGTCCGCGGCGCCCGCGCCCTGCTGCCCCGCCGTCTCCCGTCCGCCGGATCGTGCGCCCAAGCCCGGTAGCTGCAGCGCTGCCGCTGAGTCGTCAAGTCGCGGACTCCCGCCAGGCTCCAGGCGATGCTGGTCCTCCTGCTCAGGCCGCCAAGGAACCACCCGCGCCGCAGCCCGGTGCCCGGACGACCGCCGCAGCTTTGGAGGCTGAGGCCACCACAGCCCCGCCCAGGCCCGCCCCTCGCCGCGCATGCGCCCCACCGGGTCCGCCCCCGGGACCGACTTCTGAATCTTATTCCTGGGTTCCCGCGAGACCCCGCTGTCGGCTGGGACTGCATCACCAGTAGGGGCCCTTGGACTTCTCCACCTACCTGGACCGTGGCGTCTCGACCCAGCGAATTGACGCTTCTGCGGTCGTGATGCGTCTCCGAGGTAGAAGGCTCCGTAGGAGAGCCGGGACACGCTCCGCCGTTTGCCCGCAGGATGAACGCGCCGTCAGCGTGCAGGTACCCTAGGAGAAGTTAGTAAACGCAACATTTAACCCAGAAACACGCAAAATTAACATCTCACTGCCAAAACGTAGATAAGCAAAAAGAAGAGAAACCGTAGACATCCAGACTTGTGCTAGTACATTGTGTAAATATGCATTTATACACTCTCACAAAATATTAGTTCCCTACACCTCTCTCCCCCAAAGCTTTATTTGTATAGGAAAATAGAATAGTCAGAAAATTTGGAAGAAATTTCTTATTTTAATATGACTTTAAACCTTAATATTTCTGCTTGAGCAAGGATAAATACTAAACTGAATATAAACATTTTATCTTGATCCCTGGCTGCTGTGGTTCAGTGGATTGAGTCCCGGCCTGCAAACCAAATGGTAGGTGGTTTGATTCCCAGTCAGGGCACATACCTGGGTTGCAGGCCAGGTCCCCAGGAGAGGGATCATGAGAGACGACCACACATTGACGTTTCTCATCCTCTTTCTCCCCTCCTTCCCCTCTCGAAAAATAAATAAAAATCTTTAAAACATTTTTATCTTGAGGTCTTTACATTTTATCAGAAAAAATGTTTCTCCTTAAGTATTCTTAAATGAGAACTCCTTTAATTCAATAAACCAGAACACTTCTTAGCATTCACATCCTGTAGGTATTAAAGCATTTATAATTTGTCTTTAAAAGGAAAGATATTAGCCTATTAGAAATAAAAATTAAACAGTTCTCTGATCTCATTTGGAATTATATCTGAGACACCCCAAGTCACCAAAACCCAAATGCAGATAATAGTCTGGAATAAAAACAAGCAAGCATAAAATGACTTTAAAGGTTTAATTTCTTTTCTGACTTTTTACTTTATTTTTCCTCTGGAAAGTAAATTATTAACAAAACATTTTTTATTTCTTTAGATAAATGAGAAAAAAAATATTGTCAGAACTTCAGCCCTAGTATAAAATTAAAGTCAAACTAGCAGAAAGGCAAACAAGCTTGTGGAAATGCAAACATTTTTATAATTTATTTTCTATCATAAGGGTGTCCAATATACTTGGTTTACCTGGGACAGCCCCAGCTGGCACCTTTTATCCAGCTGAACTATCAGTAGGAGCCCCTTTCACTCTCAAGAGTGTTCTAAAAAAACTTCAGACAATACATTTTAAGGCCATCCTAGCTTTAATCAAGCTGAAAGAGTTTTTAAATCATTAGCTTTAAAAAAAGAAACAAATTTAAATTCACAAACATTTAAAAATAGACTTCAGTTCAATTTTGCACCATTCAGTTAGCACAGTAACAAACACTGCATGAGGATCAGGCTTCCAATAACAGCCATTGCTTGACTGCTGTGTAATTCTGTACAATCTTAAAAGATTAATCACATTTTTAATGTGGCAAGAAATGGGGCTTCAACTGTAAACATCATGGAGAGAAAAGGGAGCCAAGTTTATTAATGAATATGGTGCTAGGCATCACAACATAATAGAAAAAAGTATTCCCACCCTTTAGAAGCTCTCTTCGTCGGGGTCCCCAACCAGCAGTGACAACATCCTCTCAGAACTTGCTAGAAATGCAAAGCCCCAGGCCCCATGCCAGATCTACTGAATCAAAAACTGAAAGTGGGGCAGGCAATCTATTTAACAACCCAGGGGATTCTGATAAACATGTGGACCTAGATAGTCCTATATACAATTAGTAAGCTGATTTAGATCATCTATATTAGATCATTATGAGCCGAATAGTGCAATTTTGGGGACTCAAACCAACCTACATGAGAATTTCTTTTTGGGCTATTAAACACAATATATTTATGTTTATATGAGCTTTCATTAGAGAACATAGATAGCCTTGAAAATCAACAGCCTTGCTGCCAAGATCTTTTCCCCAGAGAGGTGTGACTATTTGCCTGGCAGCTTACTTGAAAAGCTCCATTTTCAGGGGTTATCTTTAATTGACATGACTCAGAACTTACTCTGTGCTAATGGTCTATCCACAAGGCATTTGGTGACTCAACTAGCAGCAATTGTTTAACACCTCAGCTGTCTAAGGAGGTGACACCAGTTGGAGCTTACAAAGAGGCTGACCAAATAAATTAAAAGGAAATAATAAGGAACTGACATTCATGGGGGTGGAGGCTTTGGAAAGATCTGACATATTTCTGGGACTCTAAAAGGACACACACATAAAATCTCTCACTTCTGGCTGATCTTGAGGCCTCGAGCCAGCAAGAAGTGAAGGGTAAGGCAGAGTTGTAAATCACCTACCTGAGCATTGAAGACATGGGTCAACATACACACAGAGCTTCTCCATAAAGATAGGGAGGCATACTAGTTCCAGCATTTGAGAATATATTTTATCTAATCTTTAGCAAGTTATTAAGCTAACTGAGCAAGGACTTAAGTGGCTTGAAGTTACAAAGAATACAGACTTTACAGAATTATTCCAAGACAGTCACTAAACAAACAAAAAGCAACAACAAACTCTGGGGCAAAGGGAAATAGGATTTCCAGAATTGCCACATTAATTATTTAAAATGTCTAGTTTTAAACAAAATGTTATGAGACACATAAATGGAAAAGAACACAGGCCAATAGAATGTCCATGAGAAAATAAAATGTTGAACTTACTAGGCAAAGACAAAATCATGACCCTAAAATTAAAGAAAAGTATGAGAGCAACAAAAAGAGAGTATCAGTAAAGAGATGGCAAACACACACACACACACACACACACACACAAATAGAAATCCTATAATTAAAATGTACAGTAACTGAAATGAAAAATGTTTGTTAGAGGGGTACAACAGCAGGATTGACCTGGCAGAAGAAAGAATTAGTACTTGAAGGAAGTCAATTGAGGGACATAAAGAAAAAAGAATAAAAAATATGAGCAGAGCCTTAGAAATCTGTGGGACACCACAGATTAGAATATCAACATATACATAATGGGAGTTCCACAAGGAGAGGAGAGAGAAAGATACAGGAAGAATATTTCAAGATATAATGTCTAAAAACTTCCCAATTTTATTTTTAAAACCGGTGGAAAAATACTAACCTACACATCCAAGAAGTTCAATAAATTCCAACTAGGATAAACTCAAAGAGATTCATCATAATCAAACTAGAAAAAGCCAAAGATGAAGAGAATCTGGAAAGCACCAAGAGAGAAGTAACTTCCTGCTCCAGGAGGATCACCGGGGTGCAAAGGCTGTGAGAAGGAAGATGTGTCAGAAGATAAAATGGTCAGCCCTTAACAGTCTCTCCTACTTCATCTCAAGCTATCCCAACTTTTATATTCTAGCAATATAAGATATAGAATGAATGAATGATGCTGGTAGCCTGAAATAAGAGTACTAACTAGATGCTGGACTTTCAGTAAGTTGTTTCAATAGCCCCAGCATCTCCAGCCACAGAGGTGAAGGTCCAGAAGGCCAAAAGCCTAGGGCAATGCAGACAGCAGCCTCTCTTCACTCTTCAACTAGAGCATAATTTAATGACCAGTTCAGTTTTCAGCACTGAACCCCGGTCCCCCAGGACTAAGCTACAGACAGGTCCAGAAATGCATTGGAAGGTGGGTTCGTGAATCTTGGGGTGGACTTTTGTCAGGTGTGGAGGAAAAAGTAAAGGTGGCAGAGGGACACAGAGGGATGACTACCCTCTCCACAATAGAGGGTATGCTGGTGTGTGCTTGTGAGCCCAGAGAACTGAACACACAGACATGTACATTCCCAGGTTCCAATAAAAGTAGGATAATGTGTTCATTTAAGATGATGTAAGCTCCTCCTGAGTATGCTGAAAAATGGGCCTCTGCACAGATGTCAGTGTTTCCTCTGGCTAATGGAAAAGAAAAACGGAGTGATTCATTATAATCCTCTTGTCTGTCTTTGCCCCAAATAAAAAATCAGTCTTGTGAAAGGAGTTGCCAAAGAGAAAAGTTGTTTCCAAAGTTGTCTACAATTGGGGTTGCCTTTTTTTGCCCTAGAGAAGCAATGTTACAAATGAGTACAAAGTTTCCAGGGAGCCTGCAGATTTCTATTTAACTGATACTATAATAATGTTTCTATTAGAAAATAAAACCAGAATTCTATCAGGGTAGCAAGAATCTTTCTCTTTCCGACAATCAGGCTCTCTCTACTCCCTCCATCCCTGCCCTGCCCATCACCCATTTTATAAAGAAGACAGGCGTCTCCAGGCTGGTGATACAGAAGTGCCGCGAGGGCTGTGAGTTAGGGCAATGTGGAACAAAGCTTGGCCTGGTAGGGGGCAAGGGGAGGGAAAAGAGGCTGAACAAGAGATGGGAGCTCCCTGTGAAGTCTCTCCTCCTTTCTTCTTACCCTCCCCTAAACCTGTGGATTTTTGCCTTTTACCTCCCCCAAACGGACCTTGATCTAAAGGTGAGTAAATTTTCTAAATAGTGAGCTTTCAGTTGAAAATGAAAATTCACTGTTACTTTTAAATGTGTTTGACGTGAATTACTGAGTGGCTTGTGGAGACAAAATGAATTGTAAGGTCAGAACTCTGTATTCTACGATATATATCTAACTTAAAATAAAGAAGTAAATAGAATCATTGACCTAAAAGAATTTTTAAAAGCCACATTAATTTCTGAAATTAGAATAAATTTCAGTGGTTCTCAACCAGCCCCCCAGAGAGCACTGGGAAGTGTGGTGAAGGGTGCTGGCTTGTCCAGGTGACTGCAGGCACCAATGGCATTTAGTGGGGGTGAGGCATAGAT